TGGCCCGAGCAGCCGGGCGCCAGCCTGGCCGGCCCCTGCGCCCTCGAGGGCTGCCGGCGGGACTCCAGCGTGCGCTGCCTCAAGTGCTGCGTCTTCCTGTGCATCGCCCGCGCCGACAACTGCTTCCTCAAGTTCCACAGCCAGTGAGCCCGGGCCCGCTTCCGGTGCTGGAGCTGGATCGGACCTCTGGGGCAGAGCTGGAATATCGCACCTCGACAGGGCAGGGGGATCACTGGGGGCACCCCTGACTGTGATTGGTGGGGCCCTGAAACTGGCACTGTCCGAAATCGGGGTGCCTGTTGAAGGGGGGGGGGGTCCCTGGGGGTGCAGGTGGACCCCCAACAATCGAGTTTCGTACAACACTAATGAACAAGGAAAAGCCCGGGGTGTTCTGCTCCTCTGTGCACCCCGACTTCCCTCCTCGCCCCCCCCCCTGCACACAGGCGCGCGCGGACACCAGCCCCTCTCGAACCCGAACTGGGCTGGGCGCTCGACTCCCTGTCGAGATCGCTCAGACTGTGCCCCCCCACAACAGGGAAACTCTCTACTGCAGCAGCACCAGCTCTGTCATTAATAATTAGCACCTCGTCAGTGATTAACACCCTGCCTGTGACTGTGAACTCGCGCGTGGAGAGGATTCCTTCGCAGAGCCGACTCTTGGGGATCCCGAGGAGAGAAGGTCCTGTTCAGATGCACGGGGAATTGGGGAGCCCTGTTTCACGATATGAGCCGGGGGCCCCTCTTATTCCCAGGTGAAAGCGGTACTACTGCACGGTGTGATGGAGCCAGGACTGTGGGGAAGAGGCGCCCCCTGGAGGCCAAAGCCTGGAAGTGCGAGTCTTTTTTTAATGCTGTTTTTGTGTCTGGACTAATAAAAACGACTCCTATGAGCTCTTGAGTGTCGCTGGTTTTCATATCGGTCCTGTTGTCTTCTGCCTGAAAAACAGTTCATAAAGGCAGTGACACCATGTTTGTTACTGTATGTATTGTTCTTGGTTAGCACCATAATACTGATCGTTTCTTGCACTTGTGTGAGGTCTTTCTTATGTATCCAAAACTTCTTTACACAAACACT